GTTCAATAAAAAAATGATTGTTAAATCAAATTAACATTTCTTGTATTAAATAAATATATCTTTATATTTAATAAATATTTAGTTGGCAGTATTCAACTAAATATTTATTAAAATTGAGTATATTTTTTTTCAATGTGTGTGTAATCATATATGAAATATGTTCATACATCCCTCTTTCTCTTGTAAAGGTCTTTATAAAAGTCTCTGATTGTCGACAAGACCTTTACGTTGAGTCGCGAGAAAATGTTTACATCAAATCTAACAATCTGATGAGGGATATGATTCTACTTAGTGAACAATGTATATGACTTCGGTTTTATTTTATCTAATTTAGCATTTGGATAAAGAAGAACGAACTAAATTATCGGAAATCATCAACTTGAAATTTACATTATTTATATAATTTCGATTTTATATAAAATTTTATATAAAAATTCGAATTGAAAGGTCGAAACATTTATTTTATTCGTTTTGTTACATTCACACGAAAATAAAGAATTTTCTGTGCATCCGAAACTGATGTAGGCTCTGATGAGATTTTTTACATTTTTCACTGATAGATTCTTTCATACTGTTTGTTTTAGAAAAAAATGAAGTTTGAAAAAATGTAAAAAAATTATCTATACATAATTGTGTATGAGCAATTTTTTTACATTTTTCCAAATTTCTTTTTTCTGAAACAAACAATGCAAAAATTATCCCTTTAATTATTTTTAATGTTTTCACATTATTATTATTATTTCTATTACACTAAAAAGTAATTTTACAAAAGAAAAAGAGATGTATGGACACATTTCGTATATGATTATTAATATTTATATATATATTTATGTATATTTATACATAGATATACATAGATACATATTAAATAGATTCATGCATAAAAAATTTTTATATTGCGTAATATTTAGATTGAAGGTCGCAAGAGATTGAATTGCAAGTTCTTTTTGACAAAACTAGTTTAAGATCTGAAGATCCTAGTTGCTTAGAACTGTATGGATATGTGCATCTATTTCATTAAACTCTATTCATTGATTTCTATTTTGCCGAGAAATCTATATAGTGTGCTTACAAAATAAAATAAAATTTCAGCGTATACATTCCACAAAAGTATAATATAGTAAGTTATGTCATCATATAGTAAGTTGAAACTTGTTTTCTGAAGCTATTATATAACTCTTATATTATATTATACACTCCATCTTTTCTCCCCCACTTCTTCATTGGTATGAAACAAGCTCGGTCCCTTCAATGTACGATTATGTGTATATTTCTCAGTTTATTGTTTCTCGGTACAATTTATTATTTTTTTCTCTCTAATTTTTAGAATTAGAAGAAGATGAAGAGTAAATTAAACCGAGATTAAATCTTACATTGTGATAGAACCGTAAAAATTATTATATGAATGCAGATCTCAATTAATATTTTTCAAGACATCGGACTGAGTTACTACTAGTTAGCATCTTTTTATATAGGCAGAATATATACAAGGTAAACGAAACTCAATGTATTTCATCCATTATCATTAATAAACTAGAAAATCAATAATAATGCATTTTAATCTAAACTTATATAAATGTGACGACACACATTTATAATATACAATTAATATAATTTATTAGGAATTATTGCTTTTATCTGTATTTCATATAAAACAAGTTACTTAGCTTGCATATACTACGATAATATAATTATACATTGCTGAGAATTTGTTAAAGTTATTATTTTCATTTCCGTAGGAGTTTAAATTCATAGTAAAAGATGGCTTCATTAAAATTAATATCGTTCGAAGAAGAACTAAAGAAGAATCCAGAATTGAAAGAGTCAGATATGCAAATATTGAGAGAATGGTGCAAAAAGCAGACTTATCTACCTAAAATGTCAGACAGCGAATTAACATTGTTCTTGCATAGTAATTATTATCAACTTGAGCCAACAAAAACTACTATCGATATTTTTTTCACAGTCAGGACTCACGTACCTGAATTCTTTTGCAATCGAGATCTTATGAACGACAAAGAAGTAAAAAAAGCAACCAAGACGATGTAAGTATATTAATGATATTTTCTTTTTTTAATTATTCATGGTATCTTTTATGTTCAACAAAAAATGTAGTATTTCTCACAAAGAAATTTTGCGCAAAAAATACAAATCTTATTATCGACAGAACGACTCAAATTTTGAAAGGAACTACTAAAGAAGGGCATAAAATCATTTATGGAGGACTCATAGATAACGAATCATCGCATTTTGTTTTCGCCGATGCAGTTAAATTGTTTTTTATGATAATCGATTTATGGCTTTATACGGAGGGCACTTGCAATGGCCATGTATTAATAATCGACATGAAAAATATTTCTTTGGGACACGTTGCCCGTTTCAATCCTGTGACTCTAAAGAAATTCTTTTACTATCTACAAGAAGGATTACCTGTTAGATTGAAAGGGTACCATTTGATAAATGTTTCTCCAGTAACAGATATCATTTTCAATATGACAAAACCTTTCATGAAAAAACAGTTGCTGGATATGGTAAGATCTAAATTACATACAAATCAATTTCAAATCAATGGTTCATTACGTTTATTAATAATGAGAAAAAGAGAAGATCAAATTTCTATTTCTTTTGATTCCTTTGATTTTTATTGATTGTATATCGTATGCATGTGCATATTTTATCTTTTTATGTAATATGTTTTAATTATTTTCTAGTTTTATATGCATACCACAAACGACACTCTAGAGAACTTCGTGCCACTCGAAATTCTTCCAAACGAAGTAGGTGGTCAAGCTGGTCCTATACAGGAATTACATAATAAACAAATGAAAAAACTGGCAGACCACATTGCTTGGTTCCACGAAGACGAAGTTAATCATCGGATTAATGAATCACTAAGACCGGATAAGGCAAAAATAGCAACGGATTTATTTGGCGTTGAAGGAAGCTTTAAAAAGCTCGAGATTGATTGATCAAATAATGTTTTACAACATTAATGACATGATTGACTTTATCTTTAGTATGCGATAGCAATAGTTTTCGAAAACAAAAATTAATTAATCATTTCAATAATCTACCTTAAATTTAAATATTAAATTAGTCTTATTACTTCACGTTTACTTCGTAATAAAATTTCTTTATTTTTTATATTGTTCATAATATTTTTTATAGTAATGGAATTGAAAATAAAAAAAATTGTAAATATCAAATAATAATAGTAACATTATATCAATTATTTCCTATTCAATACATATTATACATAACAATTACATTATTGAATAAGAAATAATTGATATAATAAATTATTAGTGATATTTACAATTTTTTGATATTTACAATTTTTTTTCATTTATTACATTTATATTGTTGAATGAAAAATTATAATATTGATATAGTGTTGGATAGTATCTATAAATACATGTATAGAGATACATTTTGTGTATCTAATCTGTATCTGAAGTACATTCAAATTCGAGTATTTGTATTTATATTTAGATAAAAAAACGTAGCATTTAAACTGATTTTCAGATATATTTTTCAAATACATTTCTTCAGCATAGTCATAATTCCATTTTATGTGTGATTATCGATTGATTCTATTCCGCAGAAAAGAAACAACTTTGTTGTTGCAAAATTCTACTGACATGATTGGTCTTTCTCTTAATTCCTTACAGGAACTAAATGCAAATTAGTCATATTAAAGAATTTCACAGTTACACTGTTTTTTTCTGCTGAACGCAGCCAGTGATCTTAGATTGTGGAATTTCTAACGCATATATAATTAAGCTGGAAACACAAATACTCGAAGCATTTTTAATTTGTAAAATTGTGATGAATAATATCGTCTTATAATTCTTATCTTAAATCGTTTTACGATAATAAGTTTTTTCATTTCTATCATTCATCTATATAAATGTAACAAACAAATATTAAATGAATAAATGAATGATTCATTTAATATATATAACTAATATATTTTTTTATACATTACTCCAATTACCATTATTCCAATAAAATTAATTTAAGAGTATCTTAAATGTATCTAAAGATATTTTCGAAGTATCTATGTGATATCTGTACTTATATACATCTTAATATGTGTACCTATATCTGTATTTAGATCAATTTCCGTATATGTAACTGTATCTATATCTAGATAAATTTTAAGAGTATTTTAAACCCATCACTCACATAATGTTATTGCAATTAGTTGGTATTTACCAGTAAAACATTGAATCAATGGTTCTATTCGATATGTATCTACAAATTTCTTAATTCAAACATTTGATCAAAACATTTGATCATCTTCATGACAGAAATCTAATATTGTTAATTTAATGCTGTTCATTATAATTACTTTTAGTTAGATATATCCAGCAAACGAGAATGGATTGAAATGAATTAAAATAGATTCAGATGTTCAGAAATTTTATTCACGAATGTTAAAATGCTTTTCAATCCTGAATGCATTTTTATTCATTTATGGGAATTACATGGAGCAACATGTCTATGCCTTTCAATCTAAAAATAATATTAGTTTTTTTCTGTGCACAATTGTGAATACAGTTCAAAATTTTGAATAGGAAATGCAGTTTTTCAATCCAATTGCATCCAATTGAATTTAATTGAACCCAATTGAATCCAAAAAAAGTATTCGCTATTTAAAATACGCATTCGAATAGAAAAAAATTTCAATTTTCATTTTAATTTCATTTCAATTTCCATTCTCGTTTGCAGGGTTCTACCTACATCTGAACAAGCCTATCATCAAAGTAAGCAAATATGAAATTATTATCTAAGTGTAAAATATTCACATACTTTAGATTCATTTGTGTGAAAATGGAAAGCAATTATAAAATGACTCTATGCACATCATGCATGAATGAAATGCATTCATCCTTGTTTTATATTTAATAGAGAATAAAGATAGAAACAACACGCTAAAAAGTGAAAATCATTGGCAGCGCTGATGGCGCTTGCACATTACACTCATTGTACACAGAACGTGGTAATTCACAGTAATTCTTGCCGTACGGCAAGATCATGTACGACGTGAATATGTCATAATAAAAGACGACCGTGACAAGTCAATATTGGTGACAAAATAGCGGAGTAATTCCTGCGCGCGCTTAAGACGTAAAGATCTCGTCAATTTATCGTTCGCAAGAAAATGATGCAGCAGGAGTCCACGGTGTATGATCTGGCATATCGCGGTAAAACTGCGGCCGTGAAGATTCTGCTAAACGAGAATGAGAAGCTGAAAACACAAATGGACAACGTATGTATTATGCGACGTTGTGCCGCCGTTTTGTTCGTGTATCGAGTGCGCTTTTTATATATTGTTGAGGTTATATTGTCATTTCCTTTTCTTGCAGAATGGTCGAATGTTGATACACTGGGCGGCCTTGGGTGGTCACGATGACCTGGTCAGATATTTGCTGTCCCTCGATGTACCGGTGGACCCTGCGGATGATGTAAGAAATCGCTATTGATCGCTATTCACATTAGCATGATTGTAAACAAACAAAAGATGTATTCTTCGTAACTGCACTATGTGTACTTTTTGCATTTAAAATGACATGACTGCGCTCCACTTGAGGCTCTTTGAGTCTTCAGCCTTGTTTTTTATCAAATATTAAACAAGGATAAATAATACTCGTGAGTGAACGTCAAGTGAAATGTATGTACCCACAATTAGATGGAGAAAGAGGATCGAAAAGTATGAAGAGTTTAGTTCAAAGAATAAGCACGAGGTGTAGCAATTTAATCGTGTGTAATAGCAACAACATTAACAGATTATAAATATAAGTAAAATAATTAATAAAAAATTTGTCCTAATTTGCAGTTATACTATATTAAAAAATTATAAACAATTGGTTAATAATCGATTAGTTATTGCTATAAACAAGTGTGGATTCATGAAAATGTTACATCTTGTCTTATTACATCACACATCATAATGCATAGAGGCCCGATAAGATTTCGATGATACGATTGCATGAAACTTCTAACAATCGAATTTTTTTTTCTCATTTTAACTGAGTTATCGAAAATTTCCTCTCTAATTTTTTTCTTTATATTTAAAGAAAAGTGCTTGTTTTGAGTTCGAAAGACCTAATAATTGCGATGCGACTAAAATCGATCTCTAACTTTTTAACAATTCCGAATTTGAAGTGACGCAACGAACGCATATATATATATATATA